ACTTCCCTGGCATTTTAACCCCAGAAAGACATTTCAAACTTTATAACATCTTACATTGGAGGCGGAGTGAAAAGAAGCTGTTTGATTCTGTGAGGTCATGAAGGAGACTGTCAGTGCCCAGACTGTGTGCAGCTATTACTACTCTGCTGAGAGCTATGGCCTCCAATGCATCAGGACCATGTGCCTCCAGTGGCTGCTGGATAACCTGGTGACCCAGCATAGTGAAGATCTGTTGCGAGAGGTCAGCCCGGAACTCATGAAAGAGCTGGTTGCCTCTTCAGAGCTCTTGGTTATGGAGGTGGAGATGGACGTGTACACCATGCTAAAAAAGTGGATGTTCCTGCAGCTGCAGCCAACATGGAGGGGCCCCCACAGAGCCGTATTACCTGATGCTGATTTGTGGTTTACCAGGTCTAGGGGCGAGTCAGAAGGCACCCCTTTCCTGGAGACCAAGCAGGGCAGAGACTTTGTGCCAGTGTTCCAGCAGCTGCGGCTTGCCTACATAATCTGTGATCTGCCATCAGCGCGCATAATCGACCAGGATGCCCTGATCCCTGCTGCATGGCTTACCCCAGTATACAGAGAGCAGTGGCTTGCACTGCTCCAGGCTGAGCAGACAAGGGAACTTGGGCCCATAGACATCTACCTGTCTGATCTCCAGGGGAGCAGCATGTGCTGTGGGGGCAATCTGTGCAGGGATGAGCAGTGCAATTGGCAATGGGCCAGTTTCAACTTTGGCTGGGACCTGGTGGTGTGCTATACCAACCGGCGCATCATTTTCCGGTGCAGTGCCCTGAACAAGTCCCGTGGCCTGGGTGTAAGCTTACTTTGGCAGAGAAAAGTGGCATTCCACCTGCGCCTGGCCTCCTTGGACAGGGCTGGAAGAGCTGTTTTCAGGAAGGACACAGAATACCAGATGCTTTCCTTGAGAAAGGATCAAGAGCTAGAGATAGTGAACCTGGAAAACCAAGAGGTGGTCTTCCCCATATATGTGGCCTGTAACTTCCTGTACCTCCCACATGAGGAATGCTGCCCAGAGCTTAAACCTGTAATCCCGGGCGCCTGGGCGGCTCAGTTGGTTAAGCGACTGCCTTCGGCTCAGGTCATGATCCTGGAGTCCCGGGATCGAGTCCTGCATCGGGCTCCCTGCTGCTCAGCAGGGAGTCTGCTTCTCCCTCTGACCCTCCCCCCTCTCATGTGCTCTCTCTCTCATTCTCGCTCTCTCAAATAAATAAATAAAATCTTTAAAAAAGTAAAAATAAATAAATAAACCTGTAATCCCAAAGCTTATAGGTTTGTGAACTATAGCTGGTAACATTTGAGACTGTTTATGGGCACATATGAAGAGGACACATTTTTAACAAAATGTTTTAACAAACATTGGTTCTAGAAATCATCTCTGCTATTAATGTGGCAACCTGTCCTTGTGATTTACTATCCATTGACCCCCCCATAATTTCTGCAGAGACAAAGACCGATTGGCTTTAGAGAGAAACTGTGAACCTACTTACTGTACTACTCTTAGCGAAACTCTCTTAAAACATGCAATTCCTTTAGTTTGATTAAATGGACATGAAAGGAATACATTGACTTCTCTTTCAGTTGGTGTGTTTGGAGCTGCCCTGTTTCACTCATTGCCACCACTGCAACTGGTTTCATTCAGATTGTTCCCCCTTCCCCATTTCCTGCCACTGAGTATAGTCCTTGGTTTCCATGGTCTCTATGTGAACATGGCCAGACTACACTGAAGATCTTCTTTTTGTTGGTTGTTCCTCAACCTAATACTATTTTGATGTTAGTTAGACTTTAACTTCCCTGGCATTTTAACCCCAGAAAGACATTTCAAACTTTATAACATCTTACATTGGAGGCGGAGTGAAAAGAAGCTGTTTGATTCTGTGAGGATATTCCTTTACTAAATAAAGTTATTTTTTCTCCTTGTGGCACACAGTCATGAATTATTTATGCACCAGAAAGAACTCTTTAAGCAAGTTGATGGCCTTTGCTCTTCAGAAATATTTGGTGTTCAAATTGTATTTAGCATAACTCTTCCCCACTTAAGAGCAGGTCTGGTAACCTCTGGAACGGAATGCCTTTGAATTGCCGTGGGAATTATTTGGCATCTGGAAATGGGATCAAAAGATGAGGAGTCCAAGCTAGTAATTAAAAGGGTAAGGTAGAAAGTGTTTTTGTCAAGAAAAAAGAAATGTACTAGTTGTGATTTAAATATGTTGGTTTCTAATTACTGCTAATCTGAAAGCTACAACCATCCCATTCCCTCCCAAATAGCCTAATTGTTTGCATTTTACTGAGTGATTTCTTGTAGTTAAAGAAGGTCAAATAATTGAAAATTCTGTTTAGTAATTCATACAAATAATAGGTAACATGCTTGGAAGGAATGTGAAAAACTAGTATAAGATGAACAAATAAATAAAAAGATAACAGATTTAATGTTTTACTTAGTTCAAACCAGAATTTTTCTGGCTGGTTTATTGTTCTCTTCCCAATTATATTTTATCCTTTGTTATCCAGTGAACAAATTATTTTTACTGTTTGTTTGTTTATTTATTTATTTATTTATTTATTTATTTATTCTTTAAGGAGGTTTGAAAGGCTTCGTTATCCCAAACCCACATACTAGTGTTACATAAGTTACATGAAATGACTTAATCAGGAAGCTGCTATTCACACCCTTTGATGTTTGCCTTTTTCACTCTGTGTTCCCTTATACTCTGTATCCTAACAACTACTAACGACAGACTTCATTTCACTTTTTTAAATAACTAATGTTGGGGAAAGAGTAATGATTCAGCAGAAAGGTAAGAGTTTTTTTTAATCTGTTAACAATTTCATTTCCTTTATATAAACTTTCCAAACAATTTCAGATTACTTTTTTCCTGAACTGAATGCCAGGATGCCATTTCACCAAAAAAGAGGTATCCTCACTTGGGAAATTCAGAGACTACTTAGCTAGAAATGCACCTTAACTGAGAGATCTACTTGTGTTTTCCTACCAAACTAGTTTTGAATCCTTAAATTTCTTTTTGCAGTTTTCAATAGAAAGCTGTTTAATAATGTTCAAATAGTAACTGCTTAAATACACTCATTAAAACATTTAAACTCTCACAACCCCTGGTTGCTGCCATTTGCCAGCTTACGCCATTTATCCATTATCTGTCTTTGCTTTAAGCTTTTTATTTTCTTTTTGATGGCTACTCTTGAGGAAGAAAGCTTTCCACATTAATACTTACTTTTTTTTTTTTTTTTAACAGCCTCCCGGTAAAGGAATAGGGAGATGGGGAGACAGGACTAGACATATAGTCATGGTAATGCTATGTGAAACAATCAACTAAATGATAGCAAACTAAATGTCACACCAAAGGAGATAAGATCTATAGGGTGTAATGCAGTCCTTGACGATGATACAGCTATAACCCTGTCCCTGTATTTCCCTCTATGTATATGTGTTTCTGTCTCTCTGTCATTCCCTATCTCTGTCTCTATTGTCTGTGTCTGTTTCTGCATCTTTATCTCTGTCTACCTTTGTCAGTCTTGGTGTCTACATTTTGTCAGTCTCTGTCTCTGTCTTACTGTCTATGTCTCTATCTTTCTGTTTCTGTCTGTCTCTGTCAATCTGTGTCTGTAAAACTTTCTGGGCATCTTATCTTTCTGCCTCTTTTTCTGATTCTCCCTGTGTCTCTGTCCTTCTTTGTAAATGTGTCTCTTTCTCCATCGGTCTCTCTCTATCTTTCCATTTCTGTCTCGGTCTGTCTCTGTCTCATTCTGTGTCTGACTGTCTTTTTCAATCCTTCTGACACTATCTCTAACTCTTTCTTTCTATATGTCTTTCTCATTCTCTTATTGTCTTTCTGTCTGTCTCTCAGTCAATCTGTCGCTGTTTTTCTACTTCTATCAGCTTCAACTTGTCTCCGTATCATTCTCATTAACTCTTACTGTCAGCCCAATTGTATGTGCGTCTGTATATCCCTGTCTCTATATGTCTGTTTTCCTCTGTCCCTATCTCTATCTGTCTCTGGCCTCCCCTTTCTATGTATTCCAGGCTACCTGTCCTCCTTTTTTCTTTAAGGGGTGTGGGTCTGTCCCTGGACTGTCTCTGTTTGTCTGACCAGACATCTCTGTCTGTCTGTCAAGCTGTCCTGGCTCTAGATTTTACTACATCTGGCTTGGTTAGATCTTTCTTAGCCTGTCTCTGTCTCGGCCTATGTTAAGGAGGCGGCACTGAAACGCAACTACAATTCAGTACACAAACTTTTTTCTGTTATGTCCCCTTTCAGTGGTGTCCCTGAGATAGATTTAGCA